ATTCTGGAAGTACAGAATAAATACGAAATGACCACTTTCCTCCAGGAACTCTCCTGCAATTTTCACCTCAGTAAAATGGACAAGCCTGGAAGGGTGGTCCCACAGACAGAAGAGAGAAAGAAAGGATCAGGAGGGTATTTTGATGCTGTACTTTTTCCTGGGAAGACTGGGAAAGACTGAATTTTATAAAAGAAGTTACTCTTTGCTTCAGCATCTCTTCCTTACTCAGTACTCTCCACAGTGCATTTTCCAGATGAAACAACCTATAAACAGACCAGGACAATAAAGCCCAACAACCTAACCAGAGAAAGATTGAAGGTGAACTGCCTGCCAGCCTCATGCTAAGCACTTGAGGGCAGTGGCCCCCAGTGTTTTTGGCACCAGGGACTGGTTATCTGGAGGACAGGTTTTCCATGGACCAGAGGGCAATAATGTTGGGGAGAGGGTGGTGACAGATGCAGGAGATGGTTTCAGGATTATTAAAGCACATTATATTTATTGTGTACTTTAAAAAAAGTATTATTTTTACATCAGCTCCACCTCAGATCGTTCAGCATTAGATCCTGGAGATTGGGGGACCCCTGCTTTTCTGTACCATGCTAAGTCACTTGAGTTGTGTCCGACTCTTTGAAACCCTAAGGGCTGTAGCCCACCAGGCTCCTCTGTCAATGGGATTCTCTAGGCAAGAATTCTTGAGTGGATTGCCATGCCCTCCTCCAGGGGATCTTCTAGCCCCTGGGACTGAGCTCTTGTCTCATGGCTTCTGCATTGGCATATGGGTTCTTTACCACTAGCGCCACCTGGGAGGGCTTCCCTGGTAGCTCAGATGGTAAAAAGTCTGCCAGCAGTGTGGGAGATCTGGGTTCGATTCGTGGGTCGGGAAGATCCCCTGGAGAAGGAAATGGCAACCCACTCCAGTATTCTTGCCTGGAAAAACCACATGGATGGAGGAGCATGGCAGGCTACAGTCCATAGGGTTGTAAAGAGTCAGACACAACTGAGAAGCTTCACTTCACCACCTGGGAAGCCCCAGATACTGCTTTAGGGAATACCAAAAAAGTAAAGGAAATGGCCCTTGCCCTCAGGTAATATTCGAGGTTTAGTTTAGACTTAACCTGATTTTGGACAGAGGGGAAGCAAAATGTAGTGGGGAAGAAGGGCTATAAACAATTGGTATTGCAAATTGAAATTAGTGATTTGAGGTTGATTTCAAGCAATTCTGTTCATTTGTAGACTTTCTTAGTCTTTAGTACGAGTAGAGAGAAATACAAATATTTTGGGAAGTGGAAGAGAAATTTTATGTCCTTTTCAGGAAAGTGAAAGTCGCTCAGGCTTGTCCAACTGTTTGCAACCCAGTGGACTATACAGTCCATGGAATTCTCCAGGCTAGAATACTGGAGTGGGTAGCCTTTTCCCTTTTCCATGGGATCTTCCCAACCTAGGGATCGAACACAGGTCTTCCACATTGCAGGCAGATTCTTTACCACTTGAGCCACAAGGGAAGCCCAAGAATACTGGAGTGGGTAGTTTATCCTTTCCCTGGTGGATCTTCCTGACCCAGGAATTGGACTGGGGTCTCCTGCCTTGGATTCTTTACCAACTGAGCTATGAGGGAAGGCATTTTCAGACCCAACCACTAATTGAAAACCATGGGGACTGGAAATTTCATTCTTGATTCTAATCTTGACTGCAGGGTGTCTCAAAAGGACACCCTTTCCAGGTGTATCAGTTTTTTTAGCCTAGGGAATAAGAATGTTATCCAAAGATAAAGTGATTGCAGAACAAACTAGAAGTGTAAGATGCATTGCAGATGAGTGATGATAACTGAGGCCTGGGTGGAATAGTTGTGCTATTCTAAAAGTGAAAGAGTTAGTCACTCAGTTGTTTCTGACTCTTTGCAGCCCCATGGACTGTAGCCTACTAGTCTCCTTTGTCCATGGCATTCTGACTAGCCATTCCCTTCTCTAGGGGATCTTCCCAATCCAGGAATCGAACTGGGGTCTCCTGCAGGCAGATTGTTTACCTTCTGGGCCACCAGAGAAAGTTCCATTCTTGATATCACTCTTTTGGCTCAAAGCTGGAAGACTGGGGTTTCATGTGAGGTATTACTGATCTATTATTAGAATCTTCCTTTGATGCTATTTTGTGATGTTTATTAAGTAAAGGCAGTCTTGGCCTATAGGATTGGGTGTAGGGTGTCTTGCTTGTCATTAGCAGAATAATGGATAGAGGTCAAAGATTTCCCCATCACTATCCCGTTATCCTGTTTCATTTTCTTCCCAACCCTTATCACTGTATAACATTCTCACATTTATTTATTTACTTACATGTTTGCTGACTCACTCTCTGCTATATTCGCAGCTAGAAAAGTGGAGCAGTATATGGCATGTAATAGGTTCTCAGTATTTTTTGAATGAATGACTCAAAATAGCATCTCTACAGGGGACTTTCTGCTATATGTGTGGGTGGTGTGACGAACACTGCATTCTATGTTCTCTGGGAGACTTGTTGGTGCTGCCAAATAGGAGCATTTATTGTGTATGTGTTTATTGCCTAACAACATCTCTGGTTCCTAGTCACTGACCCCCAGCAAACCTCCTCCCCTTCCTAAAGAAGTGATTATTCCCTTCTTATTTGCCTCTGGACCCAGTTTTGTTATTGCACTTATATCACAATTGTCTCACCTCCCAAGGGGTTTTATTCTCCTTAACAAATATAGTGTCTTTTTATCTTAGGATCTCCAGGCACACAGAAACAAATAAAATGTGTGTTCAGTGAACAAATGAATTAAATGCTTATGAAATCCTGTGGTGGTGATGGGAAGAAGGGTGGTGATGGTGAAGGTGGTTTTAAAATGAGACAATCAGCATAGGCTTCCTGAGCACCAGGCATCATAAGGGATATGAAGGCTTCCTGCTCAGGGGATGCAAAAGTGCTTCGCTTGGGGGACAGGAAATCCCTTGAAAGAGAGATGGACTGTGAGTAGGAACTTGAGTAGGTCGGTGGAAGTGGGCTGAATCAGGGAATCTAAAGACTGGGTGTGTGGAGGAAAGAAAGGTATAATACATGTTGTGATTACAGTTATACTTGCCTGACTGTAGTAGCGGTTCCAGGTGGGGCAGTGTCTAGAACTGAGGAAGGGGAGTCAGACTTAGGGGGGACTTGGTGCTGGGCTCAGAACTCAGAGTTCTACCTTATAGACAGTAAGAATCACTAAAATAGAACATCCAGGGATATTCCTTGCTGTCTATGTCGATGAGAAATTCCTCATGTTCAAGCAGATTTGTGTGTGTGTGTGTGTGTGTGTTTTGCATTGCAGTCATCAGAAGGCTCTTGCTATAATATTGGTTAAAAGAGAGGTACCAGGGTTAATGTAATTATCATTCTTGTTGGGAAGATACTTCTTTAGTATCTAAACATTTTCAGCCCTGGCCGTGTTCTTCATCCTTGTGGCACTCACAGAGTGATGGGTCCGTTAGCTTTCATTATGCCCACCTGGTCCCTCAGGAAGGCGGGGTGGGTGGGAATGAACAGGGAGCCCTGCTTGCCCTGGGTCACACACTCTGACCTGACCTGATCGGAGCAGCTTGCCCTGGTGTGCAGCAGTCCTCCTGGGATCTTCCTTCAGTATGATCTTGAGGGTTTTCTATCCCCCTACCCCACATTGGCTGTCCTTAGGCTATATCCTGTGTGTACCTGGTTTCTGTCTGATTGCCTTTTAGTGGAGCTCATCCTGTAGCATGCTTGCAGCAGTTTTTTGGAATTATAATCACATTTTGCTTTGGAAGACACTCTGAGAGAAAATAGTTATTTAAAACATACACATTGGCAGTACAATTCCATTGTTTTTAAAACTGTTCATTCATACATATTCATAGACAAAAGACTGGAAAGTTGCATATTAAATGTCAATATAATTCTTTTCCACTAGGGAGATTGTGAATGATCTTAAAGAATTTTTTTTGTTTGTTTTTTGGCTTTCTGTCTAAATTTTCTGCAGTAAATATTGATTTACAAGAAAAATGCTCAAATTATTTTTAAATATACAAATCAATAATGACTGGTAAGATTTATGTATACTGTTTTTCTCAAGAAGCTTCTTTGTTGAAGTTAGATATTTCATGTACTTAAAATTGGAATATAAAGTGACAGGCAAATTTTAAAAAATGTACTATAACTTGCTATAAATGGAAATAGCCATTGGACTATTTGGACTTACCAAATAGTCCCCTTCAGTGTTCTCACTTTGGAAGGGCCAATACCCCAAGGATGTGATTTCCCGAAGTGTTTTTCTTTGGGGCAGGGTTTTTTTTTGTTGTTGAAAATTTTATTTATTAATATTATTTCTTTGACTAGCTGGTAAATGTTGGTGGTACGAAATTTAAAAGGATAACCAGCAACAGATTCTGAGTGTTTTCTGATTATTTCTTTTATAACTGCTTGGTTCATGGCTGCAATATCTTACTTCTCTGGAGCTATTGATGATACTTTTGTTTTTTAAAGATTGTTTTCCTCCCTGCCTCACATCCATTTCCTCACTTCCTCCTCCCCCTGTCCCCCACCCCCATCTGTTTTGGTCTCTGTCAGACGTGTAAGAGCCTTTTCTTGATGTCTTGGTAGTCCAGTTGTTTGCTGACTCTAAACAACGGAAAGCCAGAATTCTAACTGGAAGCTCTCAGCATGTGGGAGGGAGGGTCTTGCCATCTTGGAGCCTGTGTAAGGGATCTGGCATTTGCTGGTGAACAGTTTTCCCCCAGCTCTTGTTATTTTAGCCTTGCTGCCTTCACTCCCAGGCCAGTGGTTCCTGGGGCCGCTAGGGCCTGAGTCTCTAGAGGATTTATTGGTGTAACTTGGGTTGTTGCTCAGTTTGTCTACTGTTGGGTGAGGATTCAGTTTTCTTGGATCTGCTCAGTTATTACTTTTTCATCTGCTTTTCAGTTAGCAAATTATATTCCCTTCAGTGTTCTCACTTTGGAAGGGCCAATACCCCAAGGATGTGATTTCCCGAAGTGTTTTTCTTTGGGGCAGGGTTTTTTTTTGTTGTTGAAAATTTTATTTATTAATATTATTTCTTTGACTAGCTGGTAAATGTTGGTGGTACGAAATTTAAAAGGATAACCAGCAACAGATTCTGAGTGTTTTCTGATTATTTCTTTTATAACTGCTTGGTTCATGGCTGCAATATCTTACTTCTCTGGAGCTATTGATGATACTTTTGTTTTTTAAAGATTGTTTTCCTCCCTGCCTCACATCCATTTCCTCACTTCCTCCTCCCCCTGTCCCCCACCCCCATCTGTTTTGGTCTCTGTCAGACGTGTAAGAGCCTTTTCTTGATGTCTTGGTAGTCCAGTTGTTTGCTGACTCTAAACAACGGAAAGCCAGAATTCTAACTGGAAGCTCTCAGCATGTGGGAGGGAGGGTCTTGCCATCTTGGAGCCTGTGTAAGGGATCTGGCATTTGCTGGTGAACAGTTTTCCCCCAGCTCTTGTTATTTTAGCCTTGCTGCCTTCACTCCCAGGCCAGTGGTTCCTGGGGCCGCTAGGGCCTGAGCCTCTAGAGGATTTATTGGTGTAACTTGGGTTGTTGCTCAGTTTGTCTACTGTTGGGTGAGGATTCAGTTTTCTTGGATCTGCTCAGTTATTACTTTTTCATCTGCTTTTCAGTTAGCAAATTATATTGCTATTGTCCCCTTGTTGTGTTGTCCATCCTAGTGGGTGTTTCGTTTGGAGATTTTTTCATGGGAGGAGGGGGTCTTAAATTCAAAAGGAGGAAGCAAAATTCAGTGTACTTGTTGAACCTGCCATCTTACTCCAGAACTCCTTGAAACATTTTCTGAATTTCCTTGCCCCTTTCTGGCAGAACCGAGCTCCTTTACAAGCCCGATGGAATATAGTTCTCAGCTTTAAAGCATTGCCCATCTTGATCATTGACACATTCACAGACATAGTTCTCAGTATTTGACTATTTCCAGAAATCAAATACATCTTCCTAAGTGGATATTTACCACGTTCAAGATTTTGCAAAAAGAAGCACCGTTGGTTGTTTCTGACACACTGACTGAGAAGTAATGGGTCCCGTGGGACAGCAGGTGAGGAGCATGCAGGGAGAGAATTGTGAGTCCAGGGTCAGCCTTCGTTACAGCACTTTGGTTCCAGGGTGTGGCCCTTCCTAGAAGAAGCGGCCTCGTTCCCTCTGTGACTTGCACGCGGTGGGGGAGAGCGATGAGGTGCGGTCCTGTGTGTAGACTGACGGTGCCCCCTCCCCCAGTCTGATCTGTTCCCAGAGTAGGGGTGCCCTCAGGTGATCGTGAACACAGCCGTGGAAGACCCAGGAGGAAGTTGGTGCTTACCTGGCGTCATTTTTCCTTCCAGGCTCCTGTGACGTTTGACGACATCACGGTGTACTTGCTTCAGGAGGAGTGGGTGCTGCTGAGTCAGCAACAGAAGGACATCTGTGGTTCTGACAAGATGGTGGCACCCCTGGGTATGGCCCCTGTTCACTTCCCCACAGCATTCCCAACCATATCTGACTGACAGGCTTGAGAATTGTCTAGAATCCAACCATTTTTTCCCCAACATCTTGACACTGTTTATCCACTCAGTCCTCTATCTGGCTTAACTGACTATGGATTCACACATCATGCATTCTCTTCTCCACTTAAACTGGCCAAGAGAAGTGGGGAAATTGGGTGTGCCAGGGCTAGACATGGATGCCTCAGCATATCCCAGGGCGCCTGGGGCAGGGGTGGGGCAGGGGGGGCCCACCTGTGGACTGTGCTGCTGGAAGGTGGGTTTTGTTTCAGTGCCCAGAGGACACTGGAGGCGGTGGAGGCAGCGGTGGAGGAAGCCTCAAATCTGCAGCGTGGAGATCTGGTCTCAGTGCCGGCTCTGCCACGAGGCCTGGCCAAGCCCATTAGCCTTTTCACAGGCTTGTAGCGGTTTAATGAAATGAAACAACTTAAAAGTTTGTGCCCGAGTAGATAGTTTCATCTTTTCTATTTGCTGAATGTCCTTTCTCTTCTTCTGTGGATAGACTTCCGGTACCACAGACAGAGGTGATTGTAGTTCATTGTGTCTGTGTGCATATATACTCTTCTGATTTCAATTTGATGACCATCACCATGCCTTTCTTTGCTTCTTTTCACCTTGGCCCTTGTCTAAGGTTTATGGGGGCAACAGTCTCAGCTCTCTTTGGATGGAAGGGTTGCGTTCTTTGTGCCTACTAAAAAGTTTGAAAACCGATGACTCTTTTAAACCAGAAGTTGCAAAGTGACACTGGGCCAGATTTGGTCTACTCCTTTGTTTTCTTTCTTTCTTTCTTTTTTGTGTGTGTGTTTGACTTCTTTAAAATGCTTAAATAAGTTTTCTGTATTTAGCCATGGAGGGGTTCACATAGAAATATGATTTCTGGCTTCTCTTGATAACTGGGATGGTCTGGCCGTGCTGACCCTGCATCTGATGGATGGCCTCTCCTGAATTTGAGCACCTTCCCGGACACCTGGGCTCAGATCCACAGCCTCCCCTTCTTGCCCCCTGCACTTGGTTTCCTCAGATTATTGTCTGGTCCCACTCAGCATTTGAGTTTGAGCGTCTGTTCTGAACCAGTAGCTTTTATAACCTTTTTAACCTGTGTGACCTGGATTCAACCTCATAGTGCTTTTCTCTGTTCCTGACTCAGGACCAAGTATTGCCAGCCCAGAGCTGTTATATAAATTTGAGCGAGGGCCAGAGCCATGGCTTGCCAGTGTCCAAGGCCAGAGGAGTCACTTGAGCCCCAACCCAGGTGAGTGTAGACCTGCCCTGGGAGGAGGGGTGCTTCGCTGGAGGGAGGGAGCAGGAAGCTGGGCCCCAGGCCTCTGGCCTGGTCCTCTGCTTCTACCTGTGCACCAGTTACACACAAATGCTGCTCCTCCCGCAGCGGTCACTTGATCTAAGATATGCACACCTTGTTCTCTGTACTCTCATCTCCCTTTAGTGTATTTCTACCTGAGAGGAGATGTTTCTGTATAACGATATATTCGAAGCTCCGTGGAGGCATGACTCAGTCTCATTTACTACCATAGTCCCAATGCCAAGAAAGATGCCTGGCAAACAGTTGCTCAGTAGCTGATTGTGGAATGAACCAGGTGAATGAACGGATAGCCGCTAAGTCCTGGGGATTGATGTTTGCTTTCCTCCTTGGATGAGCCTGTCCTCTTCAGGGATTGGCTTGGCCAGAGCCAGGCCAGATGGCATCTGTCACCGTGTGAGAGACCGCATTAACCCAGCCCCTCTTATCGGAGAAAGGGGAGGTGGAGCTTTCCTACTTCCTCTTCCTCATTCCTACTTCCTCTAGGAATGGCATCAGGGAAGATTGCTCTCCCTTGTGGCCTATCTCAGATGGACTACACAAAGCCTTGACTTTTTGGTTTGTATTTGCTGTGTTTGGCTCTTAACTTTGGGCCTATTGACTCTATTAGTAGATTTGTGCTTCCGGGATTGGTAATAGACCATTTTGCGGTCCATTGGCCTGGAGCAAATACTGTCAAGTCCTTGCCTGCTGGGCATCTGAACTTGTTGGTGCATGAGAAATGGCACCAGAGCAGTTAGAGGTGTCTAAGCTGCATTTCAGTTAAGGCATGAAGAAAGAAACTTCTGGTTTAGCTTAAAGAAGAAAAGTTTTAGTGAGGTCCTGGAAGTTTTCACTTCTCAGAAGGGGTGCTGAAGTAGCCCTCCCAGGGGGAATGTAACCCAAGATGGATGCAGCTCAAGAGAACTCTCTGGGGGCCAAAATTGTCTGCTTCGTAGAGGGGTGGGGGTGCTTTCTCGCTCTGAAGATACATGAGCCAAGTGCAGATGCCTGTCTGGCAAGGGTACCAAAGAGGGGGATTCCTGCTAAGTGTGGAGTAGTGGTGTTTGCTTCAATTACCTCTTTAACCCTACATTCTCTAAGTTCAGTATTCAGTCTCTATTAAATAAGTCTGCTCTCTTGAAGGCTGTGCCACTGTCTTAGGCTGCACAGGTGAAATTTTAGAGATCTCTTTTTGGCCAGGTGTATCTGTCCTTTATATTAGGGAAAAAAGAACTTTCTTAAAGTCCATTGTTTCTTTGGGGTTAGGCAAGGTGGGCCTGGGGGCTGGGGGCTGGAGAGAAAACACAGGCACAGTGGGTCACTTTGTGGCTGTGGTTCCAGCTTTCATAGAACGTGGATCTGAGCACCTCTGAGTTGCAGTGACTCAACCTGTAGGATTTCAGAGAAAATTCCATCTGTTTCTTTTCTCTAAAGGGAAAAACAAGATGGGCTTCATGGAGGAAATGGACATGCAGTGCCCATCCAGAGAAGCTGGGCTATACCTGCCTCCTCAGAAGGAAGCCTGTCTGTCCCACTTCAGCTCAGAGAGAGACAGCGTCCAGGGACACTGTGCAGGAAGAAGCAGCAAACCCTCCAAGCCCCGATCCATCCAGAAGTCGTGGTTTGCGCAGTTCCCGTGGCTGGTCATGAATGAGGAGCGTACGGCTCTCTTTTGCTCTGCTTGCCGGGAATACCCATCTGTCAGGGACAAGCGGTCAAGATTAATAGAAGGTTATACTGGACCATTCAAGGTGGAGACTCTCAAATACCACGCCAAGAGCAAGGCCCATGTGTTCTGTGTCAAGGCCTTGGCTGCACGGGACCCCCGCTGGGCAGCCCATTTCCGGAGCACCCAGGAGGTGTCTGGTGATGTACTGGCCAGCCAGGGGCCCTTCTTCCCTGCAGATTATTCCATATTTTACCCCCCAGGGCCTCTGGAGGCCTGTGTTTCAGCTCAGAGAGAGGCAGCGTCCAGGGACACTGTGCAGGAAGAAGCAGCAAACCCTCCAAGCCCCGATCCATCCAGAAGTCGTGGTTTGCGCAGTTCCCGTGGCTGGTCATGAATGAGGAGCATACGGCTCTCTTTTGCTCTGCTTGCCGGGAATACCCATCTGTCAGGGACAAGCGGTCAAGATTAGTAGAAGGTTATACCGGACCATTCAAGGTGGAGACTCTCAAATACCACGCCAAGAGCAAGGCCCACGTGTTCTGTGTCAAGGCCTTGGCTGCACGGGACCCCCGCTGGGCAGCCCATTTCCGGAGCACCCAGGAGGTGTCTGGTGATGTACTGGCCAGCCAGGGGCCCTTCTTCCCTGCAGATTATTCCATATTTTACCCCCCAGGGCCTCTGGAGGCCTGTGATAATGTGGCCCAGCTCCTGCCCAGCTCAACAGCCGCCCTGGGGGACCCTGGAGGGAATGGAGCAATTCCTGCATTGTACCTGGACCGCATCCCTGATTTCAGGCAAACAGAAATCGTTGATGACGTCCGCAGCTCCTCAGATGATAACATTTTATGTAATGACTCTGCCGAACCCTGTGGCCAGGTAATATGTTTATCATGATGGCTCAAGGGGGAGGATTCCGTGCTGACAACAATGTATATTGCATGATGGTGGTGGAACAATTCCATTAGCTGTAGCTGCCACTGACATTATCATGTTACCGTAAGCTGCCGTGCTTCAGCTGTGCGGGTCTTGTTTTAAGTGCTTTGCATGTATCAGCTCCTTTATTGACCACAACCTCCCTACTACTATTATCTCCTTTTGGTAGATAACAAAACATATCAGTGGGTCCAGATACTCTAACTTCTGACATAAAGAGAACAGCTACATTCAGAAAAGCCATCTTTATCCAGAATCTAAAATGACCACAGAACTCCAGAAACAATCCACAATCACAAAAACAGCCACAAAGCTCTTAAATAATCCATGTAAAAGATATGTTTCAGCTTTAACTTTGGAATCATGTTTCTTCAGACTTTAGGTAATGTTTTTTTAATGCTGCACTGAAGTGGGTGTAGCAAGCATAGTTAAACTCACCTTTTTGGGCAAGAGCTAAGATGTAGCCAGAAACCAAGGGCGCTCATGGCGCTGACCTCCCCCCGAGCCTCTGGCCGCCAGCCCAGGGCTCTCCTTCCATGCCCTGCTGCACTGCTGGGACCTCCAGACTCTACTTCTGACCTCAGGCCTGTTTTATCAAATGCAATGGGTTTAGTTTCTGATTCTTTGGAAAATTGCCCTGCAGGGAAGCTGTGTTAATTGAAATCTCTGAGTAACCAGATCCGTCCCCCTTTCTCAACTTCCCCTCCATGTAAACGGGGTTTTACTACAAGTCATTTTGAGCAGCCCCTCTAGTATTCTGCTGAGAAGAGCTCAGGCGTTCCTCATTCCTAACATCATAGGTAAAGTTAGTAAGCTCGGATTTTTATGGAATCCAGAAAAGGGACAGAGCTCATTTCCCTTCATATTCCTTCAGTTTTTTAGGATTAGAAGATAATAAACAGGTCTAAGCTTTTATAGCCTGAATTCCTTTAGCAGTAAAGTGTGTGTTATCCTAGTCACTGAACAGGAGCATCTTTACTTGTTTTACTGCTTCTTTCCATCCCGATGGGGAACCTCAGCAGGGGCTCAGAGGCAGCGGCCACCTTTGCAATGGTGGATGAGTACACGGTGCTCTCGAGGATGGGTGCAGCCACGAGGCTCTGCAAGACCCCTGTTCCTCAGTGCACTGTCCTTTCCTTCCCAGAGAGAAGAGGAAGGATCTTCCCTTCCTTCTAGGATCATGATGAGGTTTGTGTTGTTACCTACCGACTCTGGGCCACACACATTTGCTCCTTTGACTTTCAGCAGATAGCTGAATTCCTCAGAGTGTGTCTGGGCCTCTCGGCAGGCTTCCCAGGAGAAACAGGCTGTGAACAGGACCTTCAGAGCATCATGCTGGGTGTCCAACGTGAGAGGAGTACTGAGCGCCTGCTACTCTTTGTTGCAGGATCCTTCTGAGGAGGGGCTGTTGGAGGCGCTCCCGGTGGTGTTTGAGGATGTGGCAGTGTATTTCACCCGGGAGGAGTGGGGTGCGCTAGACAAGCGGCAGAAGGAGATGTACAGAGACGTGATGCGGATGAACTATGAGCTGTTGGCGTCCCTGGGTAAAGATCTGAGAAGCCCCTCTGTTTGTGCTATCACTGGAGATGGGGACCTGCGAGGGCAGCTGCGCTTGGTCCTTGGTGTCCCATTCCTGCCCTCTATCTGCACGTAGGCAGAGAGCGATTAGATCTTTGCATCTCAGAACTTTCCCTGCCTCGAGGAGCTGTGCTTTATCTCTTCTTCATCCACCCATCGTCATCCATCTTCCACCAAATACTTACTGAGCACCTACTGTGTGCTGGATGAACAGGCATGAGTCAGGGTCTCTGCTTCCAAGAGACTAGCAGGTTTGTGGGAGAGACAGGCACTTTAATAAGAAACTAGAAAATAACACAAGCTTTGTAAAAGAGGTTCAGGAAGCACCCCCGGGGCCGCTGGAAACAGTAGCTTAATGTGGCTGGGCATCCAGGGGAGGGATAAGGACAGGCTTTACAGAGAATGAATTGCTTTAACTGCGCTGAAAACCAGGCGCACAGGACAGAGGATGGGCTTCCAGACATGACAGAGCTGGGGATGATGTGAGCGGAGGCAGGGAGGTGAGAAAGGGCGTATGGGTGGGCTCCTGGATTCCTACCTCTACTTTGAGCCAGCGCTGCTTCATCCCAGGGCAAGTGGCGTGGGCAGGGTCGGCCCGGGTGTCCCTGGGCTACAGGCCTCAGAGAAGGATCTGCACACACTGCTGTCACCTTCCCGGAGCAGTCTCCTCTCTTGCATCTGCTTCTTGTTCTTCTCTTTGCCTCCTTTATCCATCAGGCACCCTGGATTTTCATGTGGCACCAAAAAGACAACTCTTCATCTTAAATGCTGTTATTATTACTAGCCTATATTGTAACAAAAGCCTTGCAGAACAGGCTGCCGTGCCTAACTTAGGAATTCCACCAGCGACCTGGGTCATGACATCTACAAAATAAGGAATCCGAGTATTTGTGGCTTACCTGGTGTCATGTCCCCAGCTCACAGCACCCTTTCCTGTGCACTTGAGTATTTTCTGAACATCCTTGACCAGTATACTTCTTGTTCTTATCATTGTTCACAAAGTTTTAAATGGCTCCTCGAACATTCAGAAAGGATGTGAAAAATTGTTTCTTTCATGAGGACATAGGTATTGTGCTCATGTCCTGGGCCAAGGCCTTTGAAGCGTACCTTCAAAGAGCATCACTACCACCCAGTGTCTGAGCGAGCAAGCGAGCCAGGAGGAGATTGGTTTTTAAGAAACCAGTCTTACAGGAAGTTGGTTTTTCCTTTGAAGGAGTGAGCAGCAGTGGGGCACTCTGCCCTCTGGGTCCCTGTGGAAAGTCATGGAGAAGACGGGGGTGATGGATGGTACAGCAGTGTGTTTCCCACAGTGTGGGCCTGACTTGGATTGTTGAGTTGGACTGTGTCATCTAAGCAGTTTTTATCCTTTTCTTTTTAACTTCTATATGTTCAGAAGTGGGGAAATCTTCAGTAAGTAGGCCTCTCCTCCAGGAGAACTGAGGTGCAGAGAGGGGCTGCCGCCCTGGGGTGAGAGGTTGGGGTTGGCTCAGGTTAGCTCAGCTCAGGTTGTGGGTCTTTGTGGTCCGGTTGTCCTCAGGCTGCATCGCAGCACATTTGTACTGTTGATTTCCTTGTGCTCTTGTCATTTGAGGAAACCCAGCTAATTCTTTAGTTTCTCTTATTAGGATTTACAACTAGTAGGTTTGTTCTTTTAGATTTTATTATTATGGTACCTGTCTTTTAAAAAGACAGTCTCAATTTGATGCAGTCAGATTTAATGTTAATCTGTCAGTTGTGTAGGAGTTAAGCTGTTGTCGACTAAAGCTTTTCAGCTGGTAGTTTCCAGGTTAGGTTCAGCCTCCATGGCCCCACCAGTTGTCTTATCAATAGGACTGAACTTGTAGAGGACAATCACTTTGATTATGGAGAAAAGAAGAGGTTTGTGCTTTGATTTTAGTGCTTTCCTCTGTCAACCTTTACTTTTGTGGACTTGCTCATTTAGAACTGTTTATCACTATGTAGAGTTCCAGCTGTTCTTTTATTTCAGTGTTTTAAATTCTGGTTTCAAACTTTGGCCATATTTGGTGATACATCTTGCTCCCCCCACCCCCAAGAAGAAAACTCAGTTACATTTCACTGTTAAGAAACTAATAGTCGTCAGTAACAGAAACGGACAAGCCAATACAGGGACTATGTGGTAACCCTTGTTTTTACTAGTAAAGGTGTCATTGTACGCAGAGTAGCAGGTCACTGCAGGTGGGCAGTGCCTCTTCTACAGGTGAGCTCATCAGCGACTACTGGACCTCACTGCTGGGAGAAGTCGTCAGGTCACCAAGTGGAAAGAAAGCCGAGTGGGCAAGCCCTCAGTGGCATGAGCCGGAGTTAAAGTGGTTTATATGTTGTCTAGGAGGCTAGCTGCTGCACAGTGGGCCATATCTGGCCTCCCGGTGGGGCTCCTGCTGAGCCAGAGAGAGAAGAAGCAGTGCCAGGAGCCAGAAGGGCCATCTCCAAACTGGTTCGGGAGCCAGCCTGCCAACCTTGGGGTCAGAGTAGCCTGAAAGGATCAGAATCTGTCTTTGCAAGCCAAGCCATTTTTCTGGACTTTGTGTGTGTGTGTGTGTGTGTGTGTGTGCGTGTGTGTGTGTATGTATCAATATGCACATGCGTGCATGTGCTATTTATATCTCTTCAGTCACTTTTCCATTAGTAAGACATAGGAGAATCTGTTTGCAAATTCCCTCTGTTTCACTTGTTCTGAAGAGAACAAAAAGAAAAGGTTTTTTAGCATCATTTCAGCCATAGTTTCAAAGAGCTGTGCCTGGGGTTCAGCACTTCTGGGGCCAGTATGGTCATGCTGTGGACAGTCAGAGGTGACTGATCCCCAGAGGAGTGTAACTGAGGCAAACATTTTCAGGGATGTTCAGTCTCATGTATAATTTCAGCTAGTCTTTAAAAATATTTCTTCATAATTATGTTTTTTAAAGACCTTTATTTATCTATTTTATTTTTTGGCTGTGCTGGGTCTTGGTTGTGGTGGGCGGGCTTCGCATTGTGGTGACTTCTCTTGTGGAGCACGGGCTCTAGGCGGGCAGGCTCAGTAGTCATAGCTCACCGACTTAGTTGCTCCTCAGCATTTGGAATCTTCCTGGACCAGGGATCGAACCCAGGTCCCCTATATTACAAAGTGGATCCTTAACCACTGGACCACCAGGGAAGCCCAATAATTATATATTTTTAATCGAAGTAGTTCTCATATAACAAAAAAACAACAGTTCCTGTCCCACCATTCTCTATTGCTGAATCCTCCTCACCAAAATTTTTTAGCTGTTTCTTCCAGTAACTGGTTTCATTATGCCTAAGAAACACTAAAACTCAGTTACATTTCACTGTTAAGAAACTAATAGTCGTCAGTAACAGAAACGGACAAGCCAATACAGGGACTATGTGGTAACCCTTGTTTTTACTAGTAAAGGTGTCATTGTACGCAGAGTAGCAGGTCACTGCAGGTGGGCAGTGCCTCTTCTACAGGTGAGCTCATCAGCGACTACTGGACCTCACTGCTGGGAGAAGTTGTCAGGTCACCAAGTGGAAAGAAAGCCGAGTGGGCAAGCCCTCAGTGGCATGAGCCGGAGTTAAAGTGGTTTATATGTTGTCTAGGAGGCTAGCTGCTGCACAGTGGGCCATATCTGGCCTCCCGGTGGGGCTCCTGCTGAGCCAGAGAGAGAAGAAGCAGTGCCAGGAGCCAGAAGGGCCATCTCCAAACTGGTTCGGGAGCCAGCCTGCCAACCTTGGGGTCAGAGTAGCCTGAAAGGATCAGAATCTGTCTTTGCAAGCCAAGCCATTTTTCTGGACTTTGTGTGTGTGTGTGTGTGTGTGTGTGTGCGTGTGTGTGTGTATGTATCAATATGCACATGCGTGCATGTGCTATTTATATCTCTTCAGTCACTTTTCCATTAGTAAGACATAGGAGAATCTGTTTGCAAATTCCCTCTGTTTCACTTGTTCTGAAGAGAACAAAAAGAAAAGGTTTTTTAGCATCATTTCAGCCATAGTTTCAAAGAGCTGTGCCTGGGGTTCAGCACTTCTGGGGCCAGTATGGTCATGCTGTGGACAGTCAGAGGTGACTGATCCCCAGAGGAGTGTAACTGAGGCAAACATTTTCAGGGATGTTCAGTCTCATGTATAATTTCAGCTAGTCTTTAAAAATATTTCTTCATAATTATGTTTTTTAAAGACCTTTATTTATCTATTTTATTTTTTGGCTGTGCTGGGTCTTGGTTGTGGTGGGCGGGCTTCGCATTGTGGTGACTTCTCTTGTGGAGCACGGGCTCTAGGCGGGCAGGCTCAGTAGTCATAGCTCACCGACTTAGTTGCTCCTCAGCATTTGGAATCTTCCTGGACCAGGGATCGAACCCAGGTCCCCTATATTACAAAGTGGATCCTTAACCACTGGACCACCAGGGAAGCCCAATAATTATATATTTTTAATCGAAGTAGTTCTCATATAACAAAAAAACAACAGTTCCTGTCCCACCATTCTCTATTGCTGAATCCTCCTCACCAAAATTTTTTAGCTGTTTCTTCCAGTAACTGGTTTCATTATGCCTAAGAAACACGCACATATAGACATTGTTTTTTAAAGCACAAACTTCAGCAGGATGCATTTCTAAAACAGCTTCATTCTTTTCCATCACCACTTGCTTGAGTCACCTCTTTGGGGATTTTCTTTTTCACCCTTTGTATTGTCAAAAGAAAATTCAGAGAGCTTTCCTGATAGGAATATTTTATTGAGGAAGAAACAAACTGTTCATGAACTGGGAGACTTCACACCCAAAGTGGTTAAAAGCTTGGCTCTCAGCACGTAATGCTCAGTTTATAAAATGTGAATTAAGGAGTACTTTAAAAATTTTTGATTATATTCTCTTTAGGATAGTAGCACTGTTTACCTTTTCTTGTGTGTAACTAATTGTCTCAGAAGCTGTATAGTCACTCTGACATGAAGGAAACTTAAATTTTGTTTAAGACC